AAACCTTTGTTATGGCTCAATAATGCTCCATTGTCTGATTATACCACATCATGATACCATTTCAACTGTTGTTGGGCATTTGGATTAATTCTTCCTTTTGGCTGTGTACTTTTGTGTTCAGATATTTTTTTAAGTCTCTGTTTTCAGTTATTTAGAGTGTATACTTAGGAGTAGAATGTTGGCTCAGACAGTAATCCTGTTTAGCTTTTTTTTTAGAAACAGCTGTACTTTTCTGTGTGAAGGTGTACCATTTTACATTCCTGTCAGCGATGTGCAAGAATTCCAGTTTATCCATATCATACTCAACCCTTGTTATTTATTTCCATTCTTAAGCTTCCTCCCTTCTTTCTTTTTAACTGTCTTCTTTTCCTTTTTTTCTCTTTTCCCCTTCCTTTTTGTTATCCGTGCAGGTGTGAAGTGGTATCTGATAGTGATTTTGAATTGTATATTCTTAAAGACAGGTGATACATAGCATTTTTTCATGTGCCTTCTGGCCATTTATATATCTTTGAAGAAATATATATTCAAATGTTTCGCTTGTTTTTAAATTGGGTTTATCTTTTTTTAAGTATAAAAAGATCTATTTAATGACAGATTTTGGCGGGGGTAAATTTTTAAAATGTAAAATAAATATTTGATTATATATTCTATGATGGGTTTTAAAAATATTTCAGCTTATTAAATAATGAGAAAACATGATAAGAGACCATCTCAAAACTCAAACTTTAAGATAAAAACCAAAGAAGCAGACTCTTCCCTTGCCTCAACTTCAGAAGAATCCCAAGAGGAAAACACATTTTAAAAATGTTTAAAGTATTTTATTATTAATGATATACTTTTATTTTTTATTTTTTTCAATTTTTATTTTTTAGTAGTACATGTTGTAATACACAATGATTATATATATATTACTTATGAGAAGTTCATACATGTGCATGACACATTTGAATTTTTTTAACCCATCCCCCTTTCACTGCTTTTGTCTCTTGGTCCCGTTTTGATTTGCAAAAGATTTATGTCCCTATTTCCTAGTATCTCTTTTATTTTGCTCTTTATTTATATTTTAGGTTTCTCATAAAAGAGAAATCAAATGATACTTAAACTTGTGTGTCTAATTTATTTCACTTAACATTATGGTCTCAAGGTGTATCCATTGTTCTCCAAATAACCCAAACCTATCCTTCTTTATGGCAGAGTAGTACTCCATTGTGTTTAAATACCATTTTCTTTTTCTTTTTTTTTTTTGGTATCAGGGATCGAACTCGGGTTCTTGTGCTTGCACAGCAGGTGGTGAAACCACTGAGCTAAATCCCCGGCCCTAAATACCATATTTTCTTTATCCATTCATCAGTGGACATATTGACCACTTCTAAGATGTAGCTATTATGAATTGTGCTTCTATAAACATGGGTTTTAATTTTTTGAGTAGTTTGTATACTGATTTCTGTAATAGTTGTGCTAGTTTACATTCCTACTGACAATATAGAAGGATTCTTTTTTCCCTGGAGCCTTTCCAGCATTTGTTATTAGTTGAGTTCTTGATGGTAGCCATTATTTCTGGAGTAAGATGGAATCTCAGTGTTGTTTTAATTCACACTTCTTTAATGGCCAGAGATACTGAACATTTTTTCATGTATTTATTGACCATATGTACTTCTTATTCTGAGAATTATCTGTTCATTTCAGTTGCCCTTTTTGATTGGGTCTTTTATTTTGGGAGAGGGTCTAATTTTTTTGAGTCCTTTACATATTCTAGATATTAGGCCCCAGTTTGAGGAATAGCTGGCAAATTGTTTTCATATTCTGTGGGTTGTCTGATTCATTCTGTTGGTCATTTTCTTTGCTTTGTAGAAGCTTTTTAATTTTATGACCCCCTTTGTTGATTCTTGTTGTTATCTCTTGTGCAGTTTGGAATTCAGAAAGTCTTTGCCTGTGCATATTTTTCAAGAGTTTTACCTATTTTATCTTCCAGCAGATTGTTTCTGTTTTAATTCATTAATGTGTATTCTGGTGGTGTTGGGTGAAACACTATGTAGATATCTATTAAGTACATTTACTCCAAGATTTGGTTCAACTCCAGTATTTCCTTGTTGATTTTTTGTGTAGTTGGTCTATTTGTAACAGTAGGGTATTGAGGTCCCTCCTATAATTGTGTTGGTGTTTATTATCTTATCCTTTATGTACATTAGTGTTTGTTTTATGAAGTTGGGTGCACTGGTGTTTATAATTGTTATTTCTTCCTGTTGGATTATTACTTTAACCAATATGTAGTGACCTTCTTTGTCTCTTCTGATCAGTTTTGGCTTGAAGTCTACTTTGTCTGAAATTAGGATAGCTACTCCTTTTTCTGGGTTCGTATTGCATGGAATATTGTTTTTCATTCTTTTTTTTTCCCCTGTGAATTTCTTTTTGGATTAAATGGGTTTCTTGTATATAGCATATATCATTGGCTTTTCTTTCTTTGTCCATTCTGCCAGTCTGTGGCGTTGATAGGGGAATTGAGACCATTCACATTGAGAGTTATTACTTATTGTATGAACTATTCCTGTCATTGCTTTATTTTCCTGTTGCTGACTCCCTTCCCCTGCTTTTTTTTTTGGTACCGGGGATCCAACTCAGGTCCTTGTGCTTGCGGGGCTGGCGGTGGAACCACTGAGCTAACTCCCAGACTTCCTGGTGCTTTTATCATGACCTGTGGCCCAAGAGTGAGCATCTGTCTGTCGTGTTTGTACCTTTCCCAGGTTCTCACATTAGTGCCATAGGCTGTCTGGTACTCCTTCATGGGATTGTGTGTACTTTAAAGGTCATGACTTGTCCCTTCATTGTGCCCACTTCTTGACATAGTTTGCAGTTTTTCTGTTTTGTTTTGTTTTGTTTTGTTTTGCTGTACTGCGGATTGAACTCAGGACCTTGCACTTGCAAGGTAGGCACGTTGCCACTGAGCTAAATCTCCTGCCCAGCAGTTTTATATTAATGAAGTATGCCACAAAGATAAGAAGCTTTTGCAAAGTGTGTTGTACATCTGTGCTTTCCATACATTTTGGGACACGTAGAAGGCAAAGTAGATTTTTTTTTCCAACTCCCCCCCCCAAAAAAAGTATCATAAGCCACCTGAACAAAGTGTGACTTCTAGAGAGACATGTAAAGTTGGTTCCCACATAACTTCTCCTTTAGTGACTGATGTTCACTCTTTGAAACACTTTTATTTGAAACTCCGTGGTACTGGTATGCTCTGCTGCACACTCTCATGGGACCTCCCTGCCCTGCCCTGCCCTGCCCTCCCCTCCCCTCCCCTCCCCTCCCT